GAGGCTCTAGAGCCTGACTAGCAATAGCTAGAATTTATTATTATAATTATATATTTAAATACAATTGCAGCGAAGGGAAGAAGTCATATTGTAAATTTCAATTTCTTTTCATATCAGTTTTCTACCGGAGCATGTAAAAAGCACAAAAAAGTTCCAATATACCGAACATAACTAATCAGTTACCATCATAAGTTTTAGTTAATGCATCTACAAACTATTTTTGATAATTTACATTTAGTTTAAACATTCCCTCTCTGTTTGCTAAGCGCATAATCCCTATTCTAAATTTACTATATCATCAACTCTTATCTCTGGCACCTTTTTTCTGTCAAGCGCATAGGAAGCGGAAACCCTTTTGTTTTTGCTGCCACAGTTAAATTGGTCGCTTTCTAATCGCCTTCCTGGAAATTAGCTTCCATTCCTTTTTTGTTTTTGTATGAAGTGCGACGAGTTGATAATTTCCGCAGGCGTGCACTCACTTCTACACACACACACACCCACACACACACACATATTATCGAAAAGTTTTCAGGTCATTAAGTTTGTCGACAGCTTTTGGCAGGAACCAGAGAAACAGAGAGACAGAGCAAACTCTTGCTAAAGAAAAGGTGCGAATTAACCTAAACTTGTGGAAATGCCAATAGAAAAACAATAGAAAATTCAAGTGCTTTCAACAGTTGAGGCAATTAAAGCTACATTCTTGATAGCTAAGAATTAAATAAATAGAAATTTGTATATTTCTATGTACATATATATTTATTTGATTTTTGCACTTCTTTAGGAAGGGAGAAGCAATTTAATGCACATATGCTAAGATTTATGTGTTTTGTTGGATTCGCTTGGCCAAAGTGCAAAAACAAAGAGACATTTTATTTTGTACAACAATTTTTTGTTGCTTGGAGAGCTTGAGCTACGGCAGAGTTGGGGCAGCTGCGTCTGCCAGCCAGCCATAAAGAAATGCTCATACACTCTTAATACACTAACTTTTTGGCATACTAACTATTCCCATTAAATAAGAATGAATGGAATGAATAGATCTTTGGAGTTCGATTTGAGTATGAGATATTTTTTATATAATATAATATAACGAATAGGACGCTGAGGCGACTTATCATTATGATTTATCAAATATAAATTTGACAATAAGATTTAAATTGAATATTTTTATAAGGTTTTAAAATTTTCATGTTGAAATGAAGTCGCATATTATAGAGTAGAGTATGTCTTGTAATAAAACAGTATAATAATAATAGTAATTAAAACTTATTATACTCATTCACGAAAGTGAATCAGTATATTGGTTTTGTGCAATGTCCGTCTTGCTGTCCGTCCGTCTGTCCGTCTGTCCGTCTGTCCGTCCGTCCGTCTGTCCGTATGAACGCAATCTATTTCGGCGCTATTGAAGCTAGAGACTTGAAATTTGGAACACATACTCGTGTATATCTCCGATTTATAAAGTGTTAAAATTTTCCCGATCCGCCCACTAGGGGCGTGGCAAATCGGAAAATGCATTTTCCGATATACCAGAAATCATGTTTGTTGAAGAGCTAGAAAGCTGAAATTTGGTATGTAGGTCCGCGCCGATCACCCAAGATCACAAGCTATGGCGGATATATCTCCGCCCATTAGGGGCGTGGCAAATCGGA